GGGGAGGGGCCGAGCAGGAGAGGTGCACAAGGCAACATAAGGGTGGGTTGGGGCCAGGCAGGGGAGGTGTCCAGGGCAACATGAGAGTGCATAGGGGCCGGGCAGGGTAGGTGAACAGGACAGTGTGAAGGCGGATAGGGGCTGGGTGGGAGAGGTGCACAGGGTAGCGTGAAGGTTGGTTGGGGCTGGGAGGGACAGGCGCACAGGGCAGTGTGAGAGTTGTTAGGGGTCATAGGAATGGGCTGGGAGAAGTAGGGAGGCCTGGGAATGCAGAGTGAATGATCAAGAGATGAATAGGTGTTAAGGTGTTAGCTCCTCAGGGGTGTGTAGATGGTGAATTATCTTGACAAAAGATAAATTTCTGAATCACATTCTAGATGATTAGTGTGTGATGCTGAATCTATGCTGGTACTGAAATATAAGTCTTTCATCCAGTGGCAGCATTTTAGGGACATGGCATTCAGCCAAGCCACAGGTGCCCTGATAACCTTCATACACACAAGTGACATTGGAAATGGCCTGCATATTTATACCTGCCTCTGGAAATTTCCACCACATGCATCTGACAAAGTGGGTCTTTGCCCACGAAAGCTTATGCTTCAACACTTCAGTTAGTCTATAAGGTGCCACAGGACACCTCTCCACTTTTGGAAATTACTTGTGTCTAGAGTGCCTCCATGTGCTGCCATCACACTGAGGGAAGGGTTCAAATCCAGTGTATTAAAGGCTGCTATAAAGAGGACAATGATCTATTGCTCTCCATGCTCACTATGAAGTAATTAGCTTAATTTTCAGCAAGCAAGATTTATATTAGATGTTAGGAAAAGCTTTCTAACTGCAAAGGATAAACAAACATGAGAAAGGTAAGTTTTAAAGAAATTTTAGACAACTGTCAAGAATGGCCTAAATACATTTAATCCTGCCTCTGCCAGGGAAGATGAATCTTGAAGTCACTTGCAGTCAGAGGCCAATGAAGGATGCCAGCTGTATGGTTTCTATTAGATGTGCAGTTGCTCACTAGAGAAAGGACTGACACTACCTTGAATGGTAACTTTTTGGACACTATCAACCAAAGTTGAAATTTCATTTTTCATTAGAACAGGTGATGAAAAAGAAAAAATGTCTGAACTGGCACACGGTTTCATTAGGGGAAGCAACAGTTGTGAGGGGTTTTCTATACAGCATGGGCTGTAGTTTGTGCTACCAGTATTTGATAGTTTAAAGCTATACTTTTGTTATACCAGAAGGTGACCTGGGCAATATATAAAGAACAGCTGTTCCAAGAACTGTCAGATGGAGTGCCTGTAAATCAAAAAATATCTAAATCTGGCAGGGTTTGCATACCTTTCTCCAAAAGCATCTACTACTGATCACTATTAGAGACAGGATACATGACTAAACAGATTTCTCTACTCCTTATGGTAATTCCTATGTCATGTCTTATTTAAATAAAAAGTGCTTTGCAACTGAAAAATTGAATGGACATTTATTTATGATGCTGCCCAGGATGTGGGCTTAATGCTTTGCTTTAGTGATTAGCAAAATCTGATTTTTGGATAAATATATAGAATTCCTCTGTATTTTATTCCTACTTAGGTGTTCCCAGTGATGAGGAACAGGCAACTGGGCTTGAACGGAAAACTCTAGAGGCTATGAAGAAAGGGCAGGTAAGGTTAATATTAAATAATATGCACAAAGTTAAAAGCATTACATTGGGAGTTGTAAATATGGAAAGAAATGCTGAATAGAATATTTTAATTAAAAACCAAATAAATCAAAATCTGTAAGGCAATATATTCATTGTCAATACACTAACCTTGCACCTTCTAAGTATGAAAACATTTTGGAAATGCAGAAATAAGGTCACCTTACCCTTACCTTTGCATTCTTGCCTCCTTACACTTGAGATTTGTGTATGAAAAGTATACTGCACAGTATGGCTATGTCTACACTGGCGGGTTCTTGCGCAAGAACGGCCGTTCTTCCGCAGAGCATCCACATTGCCTGCCCACTCTTGTGCAAGAAGATTTACAGTAAAGCGTAGTAGGAGTGGGCTTCTTGCACAAGAGCAACACACTTTTCTAACAAGTGTAAACTCTCTTGCGCAAGAGCTCTTGTGCAAGAGGGCAGTGTGGACATGCAGCAGGGTTTTCTTCTGCAAGAAAGCCCTATGGCTAAAATGGCCATCTGAGATTTTTGGCGCAAGAGAACGTCCACACTGCCATGGATTCTCTTGTGCAAACACACATAGCAGAGTGGACAAGTTCTTGTGCAAGACTTCTTGCACAAGAACCCTTGCGCAAGATGTTCTTCTGCAAGAACCTGCTAGTGTAGACACAGCCTACCAGTTCTTGTTGAGAAAGCAGACCTGGAGAACCTAAGGCCCTGATTCTGTAGCTGGATCCACGTGGTCCACCACACATCCACATGAAGGTCTCTGTGTTGGTCAGTGATCAACACAAGCAGATTCAGTTGCAGGATTGGGAACTAAGTGACCTACCTGGAGGTGATGTGCTACAGTGGGTTAGACCTATGCTTGTGTGACGTTGGACGTTCCAACACTCTCATTACGCTTGTTTTTGAGTCTGTAATGCTTGTCTCTCACATGGTCTGGTTGAGATTATTTTATAGAAAATAAGACTTTAGAAACCCACTGTGTATTAGCGAAGCAGAAAATAGAACATAGAGGTTCTTTGCTCCTACCCCTTCATGCAGTTCACTAGATTACACTACCTCTCCCTGTATTTCTTCTCCCTGCTAACTCCCTCCCCAAACAAGCATACTATTTGGCTACATCTACACTGGCACCCTTTTCCGGAAATGCTTAAAATGGAACAGTTTTCCACTATAAGTATTTCCGGAAAAAGCGCGTCTACATTGGCAGGATGCTTTTCCGGAAAAGCGTCCATGGCCAATGTAGATGCGCTTTTCTGGAAAAGAGCCCTGATCGTCATTTTCGTGATTGGGGCTTTTTTGCAGAAAAGACTACTGTGCTGTCTACACTGGCCCTTTTCCGGAACAGTTTTTTCGGAAAAGGACTTTTGCCCGAACGGGAGCAGCATAGTTTTTCCGGAAAAACACTGACAATTTTACAGTAGATCGTCATTGCTTTTCCAGAAAAGCAAGCGGCCAGTGTAGACAGCTCGCAGCTTATTCCGGAAAAGTGGCTGCTTTTCCAGAATAAGTGGCCCAGTGTAGACACAGCCCCTCTGTAGAGGTGGTCTCCTTTCCTTCTCTATTCCCAGGCTTAACTGACTTAATTTTTCAGTGATTCTTAAGTGCTTTACAAATTTTGCATCTAGCTAGTGGAAACACTAAGGCTTGTAAAGCATGCTCAGACTGCTTTTTATAACTGCACCTGTGCAGAGTGCAGTGCAGGATTGGGGTATAAATGAGTTGTGCCCCTTAAACTATTTGAAGACTGCACCAACAGAAGATGACAATTTCCAGAGTAAGCTGAGTTTACTATGTAATGTGATAAACTACCACAAAAGTTACAAAACTGTTAAGTCAGGAAAGGGGTAAAAATCTCTTTAAAAATCCTCTCAAATACTTTTAAAATTTCTCTCATGTTTCCTTAGATTATTTTGGTGTTAGCATAAAATGTTGCATATGAAATTTCAGGCAGATTGGCTTATGGAACTCAGGAGGCAGAATCATAATAATAATCATGTATTTGCTTACTGTGCCTTCATAAAAAGGCACTATAAATAGCACATAGCACCCATGTGCTTTAGACAGTATGCAGTCATGAGTTCAGCTTGTATTTTTAGTGACACAGAGGCTACCGCTAATAGTTGATACTCCAAACTGATTCTTGCATATGAACTGACACCCTGTACAGTAACATATAACTCTCTCCCCCTTGACAAATCAGTTTCTAATAATAAAGTTTGACATTCTTCATCCTTCCTTCTATTAGTTTTGTGTACCTGTATGTTAATATTCTAAGGATGATTTATCCATGTTTGGATGACATAACAGCAGCAATGTAATTACCTTTATTATATAGAGAAGAGCTGCTACAAGATCTTTGATAGTACTTCTTGTTAATTATGTTCTAGGTTTAGCAATTGAGATTCATGTTTTGTTCTTCTCTCAAGGATCCATATAACATACTCAAACCCAAAGGAAATTCAGGAACTAAAGAGGATCCTCATATTGTTCCATCCGTCAACAGGAAGAGGCTAGTGGGTTGTATCTGTATGTATCAGAACAATAGTGTGTATTTTTTTAATTCACACACTCAAAAGTTAAACAAATCATTTTATAATGTTTTTTGTTTTAATACACCTGTATTAATGCTTCAAAAAAGTTCACACTGAAAATTCAACAGATCTTCCCTTGTGGGTATTCAGTCATTTGCCTGTTTTAGTGACAACAATCCAGTTATTTAAATTCTTTTGCTAGCATGCTTGTGAATATTAGGGAGGTTAACTATCATTTATTTGTGTAAACATGTAACCACTGGAAATTTTAGTGGTTACATGTTTACGCACACACGGGAGAGGGGGGAGGCTTCTGCCTGCTTTTTCCCTACCCCAGTTGCTGCCCCTGTGCGAGGCAGGGGTGGGAAAGAAGGCAAACTCAGCAGAACTCATGTGGTTAGCATTTTAGAGAATGCTCACTTAGAAGTTGACATATGACAACTTGCAATGCCATTTTAACCATAAAAAGCACTTGAGGCTAATTATCCATTGTCAAAACACGAGTAATAAAAAGTAGTGTTTCAGGCATTAAATTGAGTTGAGGAAAACCAGTAAGTGAATAGTAGCACTCACTTGGGGGCTGCAATATGACATTGAGGGTATGTCTACACTACCCTCCTAGTTCGAACTAGCGGGGTAATGTAGGCATACCGCACTTGCAAATGAAGCCCGGGATTTGAATTTCCCGGGCTTCATTTGCATAAGCAGGGCTCCGCCATTTTTAAAACCCCGCTCGTTCGAACCCTGTGCTGCGCGGCTACACGGGGCACGAACTAGGCTTCCTAGTTCGAACTACCATTACTCCTCATAGAATGAGGAGTAACGGTAGTTCGAACTAGGAAGCCTAGTTCGAACTACCTAGTTGGTGCCCCGGGTAGCCGCGCGGCACAGGG